GCAGGAATCTGAGGGTGGAAATATACGTCCATCCACCACCCCATGGGAGGAAAGTATGCAGCGGGGTCCCAAGTTCTGGGGTCTGCACTAGTACCCATGGCATTTAATGTTTTGGAAATGGTACAGACTCACAGGGCTGAGTCTACAGAGGACATCAAATTACTCAAGATGGCAAAGCCCCGAGCTGAGGGCTAACAGCTCTAGTGGGAGAAAATGAAGTTCTCCAGGAGTGGAAAATTATGCTTTAGGAGCCAAAACCTCATTTTAGTTTTACTGTAAATGTTTATGTCTATATGAGAGACATAGAAATTCTTCAGATTTTGAACAAATGAAAAACAAGCCTTCTTCCTCCCCTTCTCTTCCCGTTAGCTCTGGGTGGGATTTGCAATTGTCCACTGCTACCAATCCAGTCCCACAATCGTTGCAAGTGTCTCTTCCCTCCGCCCTGTGCTCCACTCTCTCCTTTCTGTCTGGGATTACATACTAGAGGAAATCGGGGGGCAACCCTGTTTGTCCTTCTCTTCCCCCCCCCCCCGCTGGGTTTTGGGGTTGAGGGTCGCCTTCCCTCCATCCCATCACCATCCCTCAAAACTACAGTACTACTGAAAATAACACCTCAACAGCTTCCACAGCATTTTGCTGTGGGTCCCCACTTGTATATTCTAATAGCCACATGTGGGCTCATTTGCAGATATCTAAATCTGCAGCTCAAGCCCACATTGACTAAAAACAAATAGGTCTACAAACTTGGGGGGCTCCCCAGGTTTGCAGAAAAATCTGGAAAGGTTTTTAAAAAAATACATTTTGGGGTTTAAATCCCCACCAAAGAAAAGCATCTGCAGAGGCACAGGTGCTCCTCCTCCTCCTCCTCCTCTATCAGTGGCAGTAGCACGAAGCCGTGACAGGCATTGCAGAGCTGAGCCGAGCTTGCCAGGAATGAAGGTGCTCACCATTAGTGCCAGTGTGGAAGGAGAAGCCGTGGTGGCCGAACGACAGAGGCCAGGAGCCACGTGGGGCTCACCGATGTTGGCGGGGTCATGGTCTGAAACAAGCCTTGGTGGGCCCGATGCCTGGGACCCGTGCTGGGCTTGCTATCAGCAGTGGAGAGGAAGCCTGTGAAGACCAGGAGCTGTGTGGGGCTCACCAGAGTCAGTTGTGAGGGGGCAAAACAAGCCTGAGTGGGCCCAGGAGCTACATGGGGGCTTCCTGGCATGGCGGGTGGGGGACAAGCCTCTGGAGGCCCAGCAGCAGAAGGTGGGAGCCATACAGGGCTCACCAATGTCGATGGGTAACAGTTGTTGTGGAGGGGGAAGTGACCCAGCGGCAAAGGCTGGGGGCTGTGCACGGCCTGCCAGTGTCAGTTGGTGGGAGCTGAGAGCCTTAGTAAATCGAACTTAATAAATAAATAATAATAAATAATTAGTAGGCCTGGCGTTGGAAGCTGAGAATTGTACTGGGCCCAGCAGCAGTGATGGGGGGTGGAATCCCCCACAAGTATCTCAGGTCCTACTTGTATCTTCTGATAGCCAAGTCAGCCACATCTGAGAAGAATACTTAAATCCAGAGACGGGACCACTGAACGGACAAGTGTTGGATCTTCCAGCATCGAGAATAAATCCACGTTTCAAGAAAGCAAAATTTATTTCAAAGCTTTGGAAAGATACTCAAACAAGGTCTTTGTTAGGAATGGTTACAAACAGCTCGGGTAAACATAATAAAGGGATTCAAACCAGGTACAGAACCAATGGGTCACTTTCCCGCTGGCGGGTACAGGGAAACGGTTGCGCGGGCAATCCCTGGGAACACTACCATCTTCAGACATAACATTGATGCAGTTCCCAGGCTCAAAAAGCAACAAGCTAGCAATCAAGCTTACCTCCCACTCCACGTCCTCCAGCTGCTTGGTTTCAGCGTTACAGCAGATTAAAACACATGCAAGGAACAGAGGGGGGGGGAAGGGACTGTACATATAGGCAGGTAATACAGAACACAATGGCAGCTTGCTGACATACTGCCCCCTCTAAAATATATTTTATTTTTTGTCTCCCGGGCAGGGCGGGAGATTTTTTGGTTTGGGAGGGAGTCCTCCCGGTTTGTCCGGGAACTTTTGGTGGAACTTACGAATTAGATAAGGGGCTTGAATATTTTTTTTTTCCACCCATTCGCGGTGCTGGGGGCTGAAGTCCACCCACTCGATTAGGTATTAAAGTTTATTATGTTTCAGCCTAGAATCGAGGATGTTTGCAATTTTGAAATGTTTATCCCCCTCAAGTAACACAGGTGGAGGAGGAGTTACAGATGGTCGCTAAGGGGAGGTGTTAGGGGTTTTTTTTAATAAATTTATGTGGAACACAGAATGTAAAGCCCTCAGATTTTTAGGCAGTTTTACATTAACAGTAACATTATTAATGATTTTTTGTACTTTGAAAGGCTTAATAAACTTTTATTTTAGTTTTTTACTTGGTTTTAGCATTTTGATGTTTTTAGTAGAAACATACACTAGGTTACTAGGGTTTAAATTTAATTTTATTACCCTACCCTTATCCGCTTGGGCTTTATAAGCTGCTTTAGCAGTTTCTAGGGTTTGACATAAAAGAGGCCAGGCATTTTGCAAAGACTTACACTAGGAAGTAGCATCCCCCCCCACGAGGAATAGGAGCCCCTTGTAAAAAGGGGAGAGGGGGGCTGTTATACTTAAAGACAGCTTTGAACGGGGACATGCCTGTAGATTTATGGAACGTGTTGTTGTAACAATATTTAGCTAAAGGCAATAGATCACACCAGTCAGATTGTTGGTAGTTTGTGAAACAACGTAAATATTGCTTAAGAGTTTGGTTCATACGTTTGGTTTGCCCATCGGTCTCGGGATGATAAGCGCTGCTGAGACTTTGCTCCACCCCCATGATTGAGAGGAGCTCCCTCCAAAACTTGGAAACGAATTGGGAGCCCCTATCTGAAATTAACTTAGATGGCAACTGATGGAGTCTTACAATATGATACAGAAACGCCTTCGCTAGCTTTTGGGCAGTTGGCAGCGAAGAGAAAGGCATAAAATGGGCTTGCTTAGAAAACAGATTTACAACTATTTAAATAACAGTTTTCCCTTTGCTACAGGGAAGGTTAGTGATAAAGTCCATGGAGACCACTTCCCACGGCCGGGAAGGGGTAGGCAGTGGTTGTAAGAGGCTAGGGGGTTTCCCCCCCCTTGACTTAGTCAGAGCGCAAGTGTGGCAAGTTTGGACAAACTCCAACAAGTCTTTGCGCATATGAGGCCACCAGAACTGTCTGCGTAGAAGTTGAAGGGACTTTACAAATCTCTAATGCCCCGCCAGCTTGGCTCCATGAGCAGACTCCATAATATCCTTGCGAAGGGAAAAAGGCACATACAATTTGTTATTAGAGTAAACTAGGCCTTTAGGGCTCTTTATCCAGTCTGGCAAAGAAGAAATAAGTTTGTTGTCCGCCTCAGAGAAAGCAGAGATATATTTGTGAGTCCACGCCCCCCCCATCACAGGCGGAGTGGAGGGGATTGGAAAGGTTCCAGGCGGAGGAAGCTTGCGCGCCTGCGCACGAGTTACTACGGCACCCCCCAAGTGGGAGGGCGAAAAAACTGAGTCAATGATGATGTCACGCTGGCTGTAATGTTGTGGTAGGGGTGACAGTGCATGCCTGCTCCCAAGCGAAGCGGCATGGACTTATGTGTGTATGGTTTTATAGGAGCCCCATCCATTTGGGTGAAAATGATGGGTGACTTTAAAGTGGTGACCCCCGCCTCGAGTCTTAGTACTACTTTAGGGCTAATTAAGTTTTTTTTATAACTTGAGTTTACTAAAGCTTTTATTTGTACATGCGTGCCTAGGACGGGGCTTATTAAAGAGACAGTCACGAAAAAAAGGGATGGAGTTTTTCTCACCACCTGCGGCGCAGCAGCAGAACGGCCTTGTTGTTTTGTGTTTTTTACAACAGGCCGTTCTTGTTTTCCGCCGGTTCGGGCTCGGAGTTATTCGTTGATCTGGCAGCTTTGGGCTCGCCGGTGGCGGGGTCCTGAGCAGCCTGGAGAGCCTTTGAAAATTTTGGCTTAGTAAGCCCTTTCTTTGCTGGCAAAGGGGTTTTCGGTTTTGGCGTTGGGGGCTTGTCTTTCTGTTGGCGGCTTTTATAATTTGCTGCGAAATGTCCTTTCTCTCCGCATTTGAGACAGAGCTTTATTTTTATTTGAAGGTCCTGGGCGGTGTCAGACAAGCGCGGGGGATGGGGTTTGGCTACAGCGGGGTTGCTGGGCCTCCCACCCGTCGCAGCCAAGTTAAGTTTAATGGTATTTAGGCGATTTTTAGCATTCTCCGCTTCTTGTGCCTATGCTATTAGGGAGACAGGATTAATTGATTTTAGAACCGTCGTTCGGATTTCTGCCGTGAGTTCTAGGCGGTACATTTCCGCTAGAATGTGATCTGGGCAGTCCCGCAGCTTTGCTGCCTGGTTGTGGAACTTTAGAGTATACTCCCGCACTGATTTCTTGCCTTGGTGAAAAGTGCGAAGAAAAGCTTTGGCTCGTTGACTTGCATTCAGATCTTCGAAGCGAGCTTGTAGCGCCCACATGAACGCCCGTAGGTTAAATAGTTCAGGGCCACGTTCATTGTGTAGTTCCACATATTATGTGGCGGCTGAACCTTTCAGCCTTGCAGAGATGACATTTATGATCGCTCCCTCATCGCGAAACAGGTGGCGGCTTTTATTAATGAACTTCTGGACTCGCACCGTGAAGAAAGCTAAGTTATCCGGGTTGCTATTAAATGTTGCTTTTAATAAATCTTTAGGACGTGGCCTCGCCGCTCTCAGGAGAGGACTGAACGGCTGTCCTTTATGGAGGGGAGGGGCAGGCGCCGCTGGCACTCCCGGTTGCTGCGGTATCAGGGGCGGCGGTAGACTTGGTCCCGGCTGCAATGGCGGGCCGGCGGGCCCCGGTGGAGGTGGCGCGGGCGCTCCCGGTCCAGGTTGAACCGGTGGGGGTCCCGCCGGCTGTTGCGGGGCTTGGGCAGCCACCAAGGCGGCCATGCGAATGTCTAGCATACCCGGTAGTGCCTTAAAGACATTATTCACGGTTCTTATCAGGTCCCGCACCGATTGTTCTAGCTCGTCCAGCCGCTCTCCGGTGTCCTCCTCCGGGATATGGTCCTGAGGTCGGTACCTAGGGGGGGCTCATACTCTCCCTCGCTTGGGGGCAATTTAGCTCCCGCTAGATCCCCGGCCCGGACCCCTTCCCCCAGGGGTTCGTACATCTAGTCCTCGAGCTCCCGTCGGTAAGTCCCCGACGAGGACGTTCTCTCCGGTTCAGGATATAGCCCTTTGTCAAACAGACTCTCACGGAGCCCGCTTCCTTTGCGAGAATAAATTTCTTTGGTGCCCTTCGTATTGTACATAGTCCAGTCATCCTGGGCCGATGTCCTCCGCTGGCCCCAGTTCGAAGGGGTTGGAGGAGGCCAGGTCAAATAAGAAGGTAGATGGGGAATCGTCCCCCCCACTGCACCCGACGATGGCACCGTGGTCGTGCCAGTGGTGACCAACGGCGTGGAGGTTGTTGGGACCGATCCCGTGTCCCCCTCCGTTGAAGGTGGTTTTCCCTCGGTCCCGCTCATGACTTTGTCAGATTCGGGATGATAGGAAAATAATGGGATTCCTAACAATATGTTGGATCCTCCAGCATCGAGAATAAATCCACGTTTCAAGAAAGCAAAATTTATTTCAAAGCTTTGGAAAGATACTCAAACAAGGTCTTTGTTAGGAATGGTTACAAACAGCTCGGGTAAACATAATAAAGGGATTCAAACCAGGTACAGAACCAATGGGTCACTTTCCCGCTGGCGGGTACAGGGAAACGGTTGCGCGGGCAATCCCTGGGAACACTACCATCTTCAGACATAACATTGATGCAGTTCCCAGGCTCAAAAAGCAACAAGCTAGCAGTCAAGCTTACCTCACAGGCAGGGGGTGGGGATGGCCACTGAAAGGGCCTGGATGCCTCCTGGTGAATCAATGGCCTACCATTCTTCTGTCAGAAGGGCTGAGCCACACCCACCCAAGCTTCACGCAAGGCGGGAGAGGTAAGGCTTAGCCAGCCTGAGGTGAGGCAGGAGGGATACAGAGCCTTGCACCAGTAGAGAGATGGGGGGGGGTGAGGCAGAGGGTCGTACTCGGCCAGGCTCCAGGTGAGGCAGAGGGGGGCACCTGGCCGGACCCTGTGCAAGGCAAGGCAAGGCAAGGCAGAGCCTTTCCTTTATATAGGAAAGGTTCCCCTTTGGTCATCGAAGAGGCACGCACCTGTTAGCCGAATTGCTTTATCTACAGCAGTTGACAAATTTTTAAACTGGTTCTTGCCAACTATTACCAAGGTCCAAATCCCACCCGAGGGTTACCAGTAAAAGGAGTCGAGGCTGGTATTTCCAAAATAATTGTCTTTTACTTAAGAAAATATAAATCACATGCACACAATACTGATGCACTCGCACGTTCAATCAAGTTCCTTAGAAATACAGAATCAAAAATAGTCACTTCTGCATTAGCAGGTAAGGTGGTGATGGGAGATACTTATCTGTCCTGAAGCTTGTCAGTTCCAATGAAGAATGGATGGGAAGAAATAGAATTCTAGGGAAGTTTAACACACAGCTAGAACCAGCCAGCTTGTGTGGGCAGTAGAGGCAAGGATTGGGGATAGAAAGCTGGACAAAAGGGGATTTAAAGCAGACAGGGGGTGTTGAGGGGATTGCGGCTAGCACGGTCCAGGCAATTGGTCCTTACCTTTTATAGGTGGCTCTTTGGGTGGGTGGCAACTGTGCCAACCTGTGGACCCACCTACCTGTTAGTCCATCCCAAAACTAATCCTATTGGTTGCGTGCAGTAAGGGGTGGCAACCTATAGGGTTGGGCAATGTTGTAACTCAAGACCTAACTCAAAGTAGGGCATCTGGGCAAGTGTGAAACTTGGCCTCAAGGAACCTCCTTGAAGTGCAGATGAAGCTTGGCCATTCCCTGGTCATCAAAGGGTCCCTCTGACAGGAAAGGCCATTCAGAAATAAAGCAGAGATGTGGAATACGTGTCTTTCAACAATTCAGCAATGAGGGCTGCTTCTCCTTAAGTTGTTGTTTCTGCTGACAATATGGAGATGTGTGCTTTCCTTCACCAGGCTGGCAGTGTAGCTGAAAACCTATTCACATGTAAGACTTTGTGCAGGCACCTTCTATGTGTAGTGTCACAACAGGTGATTTGTACAGCTTTCTGAGCCTATGGGTGTGTGTGCGCACCAGGGGTCATTTCCTGCAGGAGCGCACAGTAGCAGAGCTCCGGCAGTAAAGAGCCCAGGGGGCGGGCACATGCAACAAGCCCCACCCCCTGCTCCCAGCAGCCCTCAGTCAGAGCAAGAAGCAGCAAAGTAAGCTGCAGAGCCCCCTCCCCGGCCCCCCAGTCCAAAACAGTCCAGTGGCACCTTTAAGACCAAGTTTTATTCCGCTACAAGCTCTCCCTCCTCTGCGAGGACAGATCTGCACGCCCCCCCCCCCATAGCTAGCAATCCAAAACAGTCCAGTGGAGCCTGAGCGGTGGGTGTTGCCTTCTGACACACTTCCAGTGATGTCAGGGGGTGTGGCATACACAAATAACTTATGCTAATAAGCTATGCTAATGAGCGCCTGCACCTCTTTTTCTACTAAATGACCCCTGTCTACATTTATGTACCCCTGTCTCATATATTTCTAAAGCAAATAAAGGTGAAATTCAGATTCCTCCAAGGAGCAAGACAGTGGCTGAAATGTGCAAGAAATAAACTGAAGAACACTCTTAAGTCTGGATGTTCTTCTAACTCTTACAAACTCAGTGTGCACCTGGATCTATCAGCGTGCCCTTCCCTACCTTAAGGAGTCTCAAAGCGACTTACAGGCTCCTTCTCTTTCCTTCCTCTCCCCACTACGGGCACCTTGTAAGGCAGGTGGGACTGAAAGAGTTCTGAGAAAACTGTGACTGGCCCAAGGTCACCCAGCAGGCTTCATGTGGAGGTGGAGTGGGGAATCAAAACCTGGCCCTCCAGATCAGAGCCTGCCACACTTAACCACAACACCACACTGGGTCTCAAGTGTTTTTCTACCAGGGGAACACTTGCTGACCAGAGCGCAGGTAGACATGTATAAATCTCCTGAAATGTCTTATTCTTCAGTATGCACAACACATCTGGTACGTTCAGTGCTCGGCTGCGATTAATTTCAGTGAGCAACTTACTGGCTGCAAAAAATTTATTCCGGCCTCTTGCAGTCTGGATACCTTGCCTCCTATTATAAACAAGGAAAGAATCCTTAATAAATGATAGATTTCCACACATTTGTATCCTGCCTTCCAAATAAGTCCTCACCGTGTCCTTTGAGCTCGCATGCAAGTATCAGAACAATTCTATAACATGAGCGAGTCAGCCTTTGATTTATTCCAAGACCGTGGCCGTGTAAACAACCGATTTGCATAATGGTGTACTAAATGGCAGATTGGCAGCTGTACCTGGGTTTCGTAGAACACAAGTTGGCTGGAATTAGGAGTCCTCTGGATGAAACAAGCATATCGGGATGCTCACGCACTTCTCCCCAAAAGCGTCTGCCATCTCTTTCCCCCCCAGCTTCTAAAAAGAAACTCTATTTCACTGTATTCAATTTAGAGGCTCATATGGCCAGAGCTTTGTATATCGAACAAATGAGAAATTGAAAGTGACATACATTAATGGGGGGGGGGGGGGGCAGCTCAACCATAATTCAATACCAAGTGGCACAAGGCAGAGCTTTAGGGACAAACGATACAAGCGTTTCAGTAGAAGAAAAAGAACTTTGTGGTCCAACTGCTTCTAGATAACTGTGTGACAAATGGAGTATTTTAATTTTGGGCACAGCAATCTTTAGCACAGGGTTGTCAAGTAGCACCTGGAGATCCCCCACTATTACAATTGATCTCCAAGATTTTTTTTTTTTACATGTGACTTCTATACCGCTCATGACCCCTACTGGGTCTCAGAGCGGTTTACAGGTGGCCTACATTATTGTAGTCAGATCCTACCTAGGGCAACAATTGTGCAGGGAGGGGTTGCCTAGCAGCACCCGGACGACAGGCTTCTCTCCGTTCTCGGTGGCTCCGGCGTAGTCTCAGGCATTCCAAACAAAATCAGTTCCCATGGAGAAAATGGCGGCTTTGGAGGGTGGACTCTCTGGTATTGTCCTTTCCTTTGTCCAATAAAAGCTCTGTAACTGAATGCCTTGAGCAGTATAACAATCTGAAGTTTCATTTATAATCTCTTTTTTATTTCCCAAAAGTTACAAGGGAATCCCCTTCCCTTAATTCTACGGAAGATCTATGACAAAAAGAGCAAAGAATGGTCTACAGTTTCCCTTTTCTGGCCTTCCCAGTAGCTGAAAAACTTAATTTTAACAATTTAATAATAAAATAATTTTATAAATGAAATTCCCACTGTCCAACGTAGGAGCACTTTGGTAGAATACCACCTATGTTTTTTTTAACGTTTATTGTGATTTTTTCTCTCTCAGAAACTTACCCTTAAAAAAAAAAAGGAGCTTAAACATTCAGAGAAAGGTGTTGGGAGGATGAGAGCGTAGCAGGTTGGGAAAAGAAAGTATCTATTAGAAGGTGTAAAGTAGGGAAGGAGATCCATTTGGACTGAAGGCGATACCTTTCCTGAGTCAGAGGGTATTTTGTTTTAGATTTTATTCTCTCTCTGCCTCCTTGAGGGTTCATGCACATCACTATTAACTGTCAGTTCAGGTTTCCTTCAGTTTCTTTACATTGGTCCCGGTCACACGTGCCGGAAAACGCGGGGGTGGGGAGACGTGGCAATTTGCGCCGTTGCAATTTGACGCGCCCCAATGTGATCAGACGCGACGGCGTTGTTTCCATCGGCGGGTGTTTCCGGCGCGCTCCAACCAGGAAGCAGGGACGTGAGAGGAGTGCGCTGGAGCGATCACACAAGAGCGTCCGGCTGCAGCCCGTCACAACCAGTTGATAGTGGATTTTCCCGGATACTTTTAAACTCCGCTTCTTTGGCTGACTGCTACGGGTTGCTGACGGGTGCGGGACGCTGGCCAGATGTGTCCGTTTGATTGTGACAAATTCTGCGTGTGATCGGGGCCATTATTTAACATTTATGAAAACTACTTGAGGGTTTTTTTCTGCTTCACAGTGACTGACAATGCCTTACTAGGCACCTTTCAGTTTCCTCCCCTCCCCTCCAAAATGTCTTTCTCCAGATCTGACCCCATGCGAT